GGACGCCAGCCTATCCGGAGATCGCACCATTGTGACGTAGGCAGATTCGGAGCCGGAGGGGGCGGGAAGAAGGGCCGCCAGGGGGCGGGCCCAGAGGACGGGGAGAGAGGGAGGAGCTGACGTAATCTGCTTGTAAACAAATAAACCCCCGAGTGGCAGCCTGAGAGGGAGGAGCCTTGCCGGGCGGAGGAAGAAGCCGGGGAGGTGCGTGTGAAAGCTCCGCCCCCGCGCTAGCTCCGCCCCCGGCTCTGGCCGGCCGAGACCCTCTGGCCCTGGGCGCCTTCCTCCCTTTGGAACTCGCTGCGGGTTTAGGTTTCTAGATGCGCTGTCTTATAGCGGTGTTATCAGAGCCCCGGATCGGGGTTCCGTCTCTGCAGCCCCATCCCGTGTCCCCGTGCGTACTCCATGTTTACATCTGGTTCTGGCTCCAATCTGCGCGACTGGCAGCTTTGGTGGGAGGAGCGTGCAGTGGTGGAGCGTGGAACTCCAGAGTGTGCAGGGATGGAGGGCCCGGCTCCTGGTGAACCCCAGGGAGCTTGCAGACACCCGGGAACCCACTGCATCCCAGCCTGGGAAAACGGTGGGGACGTGTCTGTAAAACTTTAATTATAAAACAGGTTAGTAAGTAAGGCCGTTGTGGCCGCTATTTCAGGAGAGAGATAACATAGACTCAAAAGAAAAAGATAGGAGGGCTTTGAAAATTAAAAAAAAAAAAACATAAGATCTGCATATGTATTTTAAAAGTACCCACAGTTTTTTTTTTTTTAATTTTGCTAGTTCAAATAATGTCAGAACTTTAGAGTTGTGTTGCTGTTAACGAAAACAGCAGATAAAACTTGAATATTGTTGAGTGTTCAGCATAGATACCCAAATTTACTTGAAACTCTCCTTGCAGAAAGACATTTGGGAACAGTTGCCTGGGAAGAAGGAAGGCATGACCCTGCTAAAACTATTAGGCCCAAAACAAGATTAACCCAAAGTAGGAGAGGGCAGAGAAGAAAAAATAAAGATGAAGTCCAGGAAGTCAGAAGTTGAACCCTACCACATGGAAATAAATACCTGGAGCTTAGTTGGTTGTCAGTTGCAATACACACCACTTTAAAAAAAAAAATGGAGCTAGCCAGTGTAGAGGGAAAGCAAAAGGATGACTAGTTATTGAGCAGGTTGTTTGCTTAAATTAAAGCTTGATTTGATTTGAAAAAGTGACTTCGTTATTTTTTTAACTAATGTACAATACTTAAGTAGCCATATATATGCAATCAGCTCTCTAAAGATAATATTGTTAAGAAGCATTAACTTGTGAAAAGTATTGATTTTCCTTAAAAATAAAGTGAATGGAAAATAATCTTTTTTTTTTTTTTTCTTGACTTGTCAGAAAGGACTTTCTGGAAAACCAAATGGAATAGCAGGGTTTCACTAGAACAGTGAGGTCTGTCTTACCATACCAGAAGAACCAAGAGAGTCTTTGAACTCATATTGTGAGGTCTGCATCACTCCTACCCACCTGCCTCTCCAACTGCTCTATCCTTTTTACCTTTTAGTAACAGTCCTTCGGGTTTAGATTAGGAATGAAGACGAGGGAACTGTCTGCCTCTGTTGTGCCTGATCTCCAGTGTGGACTCCTAGTGATTCAGAGTATAGAGTCCTCAACAATACAAAAATAACAAAGCTAACAAATTACTAAGATTTGAACCAAGGTATCTCCTGGTTCTCGCCACACGCTTTCCTGCTTTCCCAAACACCAGCAGGACCTCACCTGAAAACTTTAAAGTAAATTCAAGGACCAGACATAGTGGTACACGCTTTGAATCTTCCAGCCCTCTGGAGGCAGAGGCAGGCAGATCTTTGGGCTCAAAGCCAGCCTGGTCTACACAGTAACTTCCAGACCAGCTAACACTACATAGTCATATCCTCATCTCAAAACAAGCAAGTCAATTTAAGAAGCCAAGTGAAGTTTGCTTGTAATTCCATTCTGAGGCAGGAGACCTAGGGATAAGCCTCCTTTGGTAGCATACAGGAAGCCTGGGTCAGGTCACCACCCAGCACTGCATGAACCAGGAGTACACATGTCTGAAATCCCAGCCCTGAGGTAGTAAAGGCATGGAGAACAGAAATTCAAGGACATCCTCAACTAAATAGTGAGTACTGGCCAATCTGAGTATACATGAGACGCTGAAAAACAACCAGGGCATTAAAATCACAGAATTTCTGTCAAAACAAATTCAGAATATAAACCTTGCTTTATTTTGTTCTGTTCAATTGGCATGATTGGCAAACAGCACAAACATCAGGCTAGCAGTGTGCAGAGAGGGTCAGACACTGGAGAAACTGAACAGCAGTATGAGGGACGACTCACAGAGAGCATGTTGTCGTAAGGGCTATCTTGCTTGACTGAAGAAACCGGGCACACTGTCAAAAGTTCTGTACTGAAGTAAAAACTAGGAAAACACGTCATATACCAAAGAGTTTACAGCCCACTGTGGATTGAGGGAGTCTACAGCAGTACTGTGAAGCACCCATGCCACTCAGTGGGACGAAGTTTATGAAATGCCTATCACCGTGAACCAGAAGTGAAGGGGACTGGAGATTCAGGAGATGAGCTGCAGAAATCTAAGCAAATGCATGTGCTTAATATTTTTTCAAGACAGAATCTCAAGGAACCCCGGACTTGTCACAAAGTCTCTGTTGCAAAAGATGACCTTGAAATTTTGATGCTCCTGCCTCCGTATCCCTGTGTTAGGATTATAGTTAACCACCATTCGAGCCTGAGATGGAACCCAGGGCCTCCTGAATAATAATCACCCTATCAACATCTTCAACACCCCTAGGAAAAAAATATTTTTTAAGATTTATTTTTAATCAGCAGTGGTGGTGCAAGACTTTAATCCCAACCCTCGGGAGGAAGAGGCAGGAGAATCTCTGAATTAGAGGTCAGCCTGGTCTACAGTAGCCATGACAGCCATGGCTACACAGAGAAACCCTGTCTTGAAAGACCGCCCCACAAAAAATTACTTTTAAATGTGTGTGTGTGTGTGTCTGTGTGTGTGTGTATAGATATGTGCACATGCCTATAATGCCTGCAGAGAGCATTAAAAACATGTTTAAAAAGCCAAAATTTAACAATATAACTACCATCCCATCCTACAATCTTTCCACTGTTTGTACAGCCTTGTGAAATTTTCTTCACCTTCCCATGGTGTTTGCAATAGTCAATGAAATCAACCTAAATAACTACTAATCATGAAAGGATAAAGAAGATCCAGTACTTTTGAATGGAATACTATTAATCCATAAAAAGAATGAAGTCACTGAGATTTGTGACAATGTGGATGGTACTGTGTGGTTTTTCCTGGAGAGAAGTAATCGAACGTCTTTTCAATTCAGGAAGGGCACTAATGACAGAAAAGAGAAACAATTCTACCCAAATAGTGGAATAGTGTAGAATAGTGAGTTTAATATGATTGCTTCCAGACCAGGAGAAAGTGATTGCTTGAAGAATAACAGGTGACTCAAAGGTAGCTGGGTCACCAAAAAGCTCATCCCTGTAGCTCCTTGCATCTGGACTTATCAGAGTCCCTTGTCAGGGGTTGCTATTATTGCTCATATTACCTTGGCAAGGGGTCTTGAGAAGCCTGTGTGTCTCTGGAGCTTCCTGAGAGGTCAAAGGTTGTTTGTTTCCTTATCCTTGTTTCATGTACTTTCTGAGTCATAATGGTCCTCCTACTAGGAGGGAATGTTTCAGGTGGGAGGAAATACCTACATGGCAGATTAAGTTAGATGCCATTATATTAAGTGAAATAGGTTAGAAATAGGCAATTCTAGACCTGATGGCACAGGCTTGTAATCTCATCTACTCAGGAGGGAGAGACAGGAAGACAGTCCTAAATTTGAGGCTAATCTGGGCTACACAGTGAATTCTAGGCTAGCCTTGGATAACATACAATATAGTAAGATGATATCTCAGGAGAGAAAGTTGAGAGTACCTGGCAGTTACAAGAGGCTGGGGAAGATACAGTGAAGGGAACAATCGGATAAGAAACTCAAGTGTACCATTGTGTTGTTGTGAGGTAGGGTGGTCTGTGTATGTAGCCCAGGTTGCTTAATTAAGTCAGCCTAATCTTAAGTTGGCACTCCTCTTGCCCCAGTCTCCCAATTATGAGTATTAGAGGTGTTCAGTGCAATATATCTTGATAGATTTGCTTGTGAAAGAAAATTGCAGTTATGTAGCAGTGCAACTCAAATACGAGAAACGCCACACGTGATTGCCTCATTCCTACAACCCAGCACTCTGGAGACTGACACCGGAAGGAAGAATGGCTTCGAGGACAAGGTTAGAAGAAATAATGATTGTGAATATTTTCACCAGACAGAAATGATAGCTGAGGGTCAGTGGGATGGCTTATCGGGTAAGGTACCTGTTGGCAATCCTAATGACCTGAATTTGATCCCAGGGAGCCACATGGTGGAAGGAAAGAGCAGCCCCCTACCACGTTGTCCTCTGACCTCTGTATTCATGCCTTAGGATGGGTGTTCACGAACACACACACACACACACAATGTAACAAAACATAAGAAAAAAAAATGATAGCTGACAGTTGTTGTAAACCCAACACTCCAGAGGCAGAGGCAGGAGAATAAAGAGGTCGAGATCAACTTTGGCTAATGTAGTGAGTTCAAGGCTACCCGGAGCTCTCTGAGACCGTGTCTCAAAAGATCAAACAACAAAAACAAATAAAAGCATTTAAAAAGAGAAGGGTGCTGAGGATATAGGTTGGCAGAGTGATTTGTCTCTTGTGCACAAAGCCCTGGGTTAGATCCCCAGTACCTCAAGATCCCAGCGTGATGGTCTACACCTGACATCCTAACAGGATCAGAATCCACAATGTAATCTTCTTTAGACGGCTACATTCCCTGTTTGAGGCCAACCTGGGATAAGTGAAACCCTATTTCAGAAAGAAAAAGACAAAAGGGGGAGAAAGGAAGGAGGAGGGAAGGGATGGATAGAAGGAAAGAAATGAACTGGGAAAAATACCTCTGGTTGAGTACTTGGCTAATGTGAAAGGGTCTGGATTCTGTCCCTAATACAGAAAGAAAGAAAAGAAAAGGGGCTGTCATCGTAAACCTCAGTCACAACAGCGTCACAGTGCTCAGTGGCACAACACTTGTTCAGCATGTGCAAGCCCCTGGCTTCAATCTCTACTGCTGGGAAAAACAAGACACCAGCTTTGGGGACTGAAAGCTGTGTTGCTGATGCTGAGCCATGTTCTGGTGAGGCCTCCATCCTCCTGTGAGCACAGTGCTGCTACGCCATGGTTTTTACTGCTAAACAAAGGTGAGAAAAGGCTGGCTTTTTAAAATAGCATTTACATTCCTCTTTATGACAGAGTGTCTGCTTGAGTGAATGAGTCCCGGAGACTCACTGTACACAAACTGTTTCAGGGACGTGACTCTTTCTTTTCTCCTTGGTGTTTTTGTTTTCATTGTGAGCCAAAGTCCTGTGTAGACCATCCCGGCATCATAACTCAAAAACATAACTAAGGATGACTTTTGAACCTTTGAACTGGTCTCTATCCCCCCCCCCCCCCCCCCCCCCGCCGAGTGCTTGGACCACAGAGGTGCAATACTATATCCAGCTAAGGACCCAACCCAGGGCTTCCTCCAAAGGTTCTAGGGACTCTACAACTGAGACATATCCCTGGTCCTCAAGAACATAATTAGAAAAAAAAATTGTGTGCCAGTCAGTAGTGGCTCACACCTTTACACTCAGCACTCTGGAAGCAGAGGCAGGCAGATCTCTGAGTTTGAGACCAACCTGGTCCATAGAGTGAGTTCCAGGATATTCAGGGCTACAAAGATTTAAAAAAAAAAAAAAAAAAAAAAAAAAAAAAAAAAAAAAAAGCAACAAATTGCCTTTAAGCTGTGTGTTTGAAATGAATACAAAACATACAGGAATTTTGCATTTCAACTGGAGTCCTGTTCCCCTAAATATTTCATTATCTCTGTGTAAATATTGGCAAATCCTAGAAAAACACCAAATCCCCAAACACAGTGTAGATAATGGGCCTTCAACCTGTCCCTTTCATTACTGTTTACCAGTGGTCCCTAGGATCCTATCTAGGGGGGTTTTGTTTGTTCCTTTGTTTTGTTTTGAGACAGTATCCTTTGGCTAGCCTAGAATGCCCTATGTAGACCAGAACCCTCCAAGTCATAGAGATCCCCCTGCCTCTGCCTCCTGAGTGCAGGAGGTAGCCACCATGCCTGATGGTCTCTAGAATCTATGAGGCCTGTTGTTTATTACTTAGCCCTAGGCATGTGGTTCACTTTTCTCTCCAAGGACTATCAAACAGCCCTGCTAATATAAGCTCAGAGATTCAGCACAGTGAAGGGGTTGGGTGTTTAGCTAAGAGGTTGGGTCCTTGGTTAGTATGCCCAAGGCTCTGGGTTCAGTACATCCCCCTTTAATAATTTATTTATTTTATGTAATTTGGTGTTTGGCCTACATGTATGTCTATGTGAGGGAGTTGTCACTGGAACTTGCATTATAGATGTTTGTGAGCTGCCATGTGGGTGCTGGGAATTGAACCCAGGTGCTCTGGAAGAATAGTCAGTGCTCTTAACCACTGAGAGTTTTACACACCACACACACACACACACACACACACACACACACACACACACACCACAGCAAAAATGGTTCAGTGGTTAAAGGCACAGCTGACAAGATGACTTTGACACCAGGAACCCTTGTGGCAAGAGAACCCAGTTCCAAAAACTTTCCTCTGATCTCCAGATGTTCAGCATGGTACATTCGTGCTCATAGGCACAGAAAAGCTGGAGGGTGCATGGTGCACATACCTGTAACTCTCGCCTTGGAAGCTGGAATCAGGAAGATCAGGAATTCAAGCTCAGCCTCTGCTGTAATGGATAGAGGCCAGCTTGTTACAGGAGACCTGCATGTCATAAAAACAAAAATAAATAAGGTCAGCAAGAGACAAAGCTGTCATCTTTGAATATGTGATCAGTGGCTCTGGGGTAAGGAACCCCAAAGTGAAACGGAAAGTGACCTATGGTTTTATCTTCCTGGAAGGCAGAAAACAAAGGGGAGCTGAGTTTGGAGTATTTTAGAAGCATAAAGCAATGAGGATAAAGGTCATGGAAAACACATAGGGGAAGGGGAGGATCTATATTTTGGGCAGGAAAGTGGTATGATCAAATTTATTTTTTGAAAGCCAGAATTTAGAAGAATAAAGTTGAAATATTTTTTCTTTTGCCTCTATCTTCTTGAATCTTCAAATAGTTGAGTATTTTGTTTATCTCTTTACCTAAAGGTCTATACTTTCTTTGTAATGGTTTCTTTAGATAAGGGTCTGCTGTCTGGCTAGCCTCAAACTCCTTCTGTCTGGGTCTCTTTGAGCTGTGATTGTAGGCTTAAGTGTGCCACACTGAGACCCAGTCCCTTTTATTATTGTGTTTATTCTCTGGCAACCACAGGTGACATACCTTTCTGGTAGCCTTACCTGATTCCTTACTTTGCTTTTGAACTTAGGTGTGACTGAGACATTGAACTGTTTGGATCTGTTGGGTTTAGAGAACAAAAAAGAACTATTTACCAAAAGAGGCAGGTTTGGAGGAAAAACTCGTTTCTTCTTTTTCTGCCTATCTTCAGTCTTTCCTTTTGAGACAGCGAAAGATGACCTCAAACTTCTGATCCTCCTGCCTCTGACACCCTTAAGTGTTAGAGTAGATTCTAGAGAGGAGTTGCATGTCTACTTAGGCAGTGCTGGGGATAGATCCCTGCCATGCCAGGTAAGAACTTCATTAATGGTGCCATATCCCTAGCCCCAAAGTTTCTTCTGATTTGGGCTCACACCAGTGTGTGTCAGGTGTGGTTTACTTCCAAAATGCCTTCTCCTTGGCTTCTCCCAGAAGCCAGGTGTCTGTGGATCCATTGACAACATTTTGTATCTGAACAGATGGTAATTTTTCATGGGTTTTTTGAGATGGGTGTCTTCCTATATGCAGCTAAGCTTATCCCTGAATGCTTCATCTTTCTGCTTCATCCCGATAGTACTGAGATTCCAGGTCTACAGACATGCACTATTGGACCTGGCTTCAGGAGAGTCTTAAAACAACTTACAATCAGATTGTAATACTCACATCGTGGGCTGAGAAACTCGAGATCTGAATACTCCATAAGATTTTCAGGAGTGATCTTTTTCGCTAACAAGGACAGTGAGAAACAGAAGCTGGTGAAAGTAGACAAGAGAAGTAGAAACGGCTTGTTGGGGGTCACAGGACACAGCAAGGCAGTTGCAGAGACATCTCATGGTTGGCATACCCTGGAAAATACAGCATCATTTATTAAAAGGCTGGCTGGAAAATGGAATCAAAGGGCAGATTAAATAGTCTGCCAAATAAAATAATTTTCACTGGGATGAAATTTTTCCCTAAGGGTAGATACGAGAAACCAAGGGGGGGCAGGGGGCGGGGGAGGGAGAGCCTTCTATTTAAGGGCATTTGAAGCTTTCCTCTTCCCCTGTGACCTGAGTCATGAGAGAGGAACCATAGATTGCTCCGCAGACCAAGGCAAACAAGGGAAGCTTGTGACCGGTGGGTGTGGAAAGGCCCCAGGGGGTGGGGGTGGGGGCCTGCAGGAGAACTGGTGTGTTCATCGCCACACAGCTGTTTAGCCAAGTTAGATGCCTGCCCTCCAGGAAGTCCCACCAGTTGCCTGTTGTGAAGCCTGGGGCCATTTCTCAGAATCAGTCCCCTCCCTCAGCCCTTTCTTTTCTTTCAGAGCAGAACCATGTGACTCCCTCTGTGTATCTGTTTTCAAAGCTCTCACCATCTCTTTCAAAGCAATACTTGTGTGGTCAGAGGTCAGGTGTTTAACTTTCCATCTCCCCAGAAACCAGAGTTTTACTGTTTGCTGCTGTTGTTGTTCCATCTGCTATTTGGCATAGGCTGGTCTTGAACTCCCTAAATAGCAAAGGATGTCCTTGAACTTTGGATCCTTCCACTTGTGTCTCTTTCTTGCAGTGATAAGCCAGTGTCACTACCCGTAGCTAGATTCCAATTTTTGTTTTCAAAATCTTGGTCAGTATACAAAGGAATGGTTTCCACTGTGACATTTTCATACATCTGGATCATTATGCTTTGTTCTTATCCAACCCTCCCATTGTCCTTCCCTAACGCCCCTCACCTCCAGTACGTTTCTCCTCCCTAAATACGTCCCCCTCGTAGTTTCATGACACATGTATTCATTCCATTGCCGCTCGCTTTCCGCTTCCCTATTCCCTGTAGATCTTTTCCTCCCTTCCCATAGTCCACACTGTCTTCATGGCCTACACGTGTCCACTCACACACATTTCATTTAATGTCATGAGTTCCAGTTCTATTTTCTCGTCAGTGAAATAATTTCGTCTGCCTTTAAATCTGAATAAAATTGTGTGTATGTACCACATTTTAAAATCTGTTTACCTGATGGACCTCTAGACCAGCTATACTTCTTGTTTATTTTTAAATGTTATTTATTTGTGTATTTATGTGTATATGTGTAAGTACATCTGTACCCTAGTGTGCCTGTGGAGATCAGAGGACAATTGATGGGAGTTGTTTCCCTTCTTTTACCACGTGGGTCCTCAGATCAAGCTCAGGTCATCAGGCTTGGCAGCAAGCACCTGATAAGCCCTCTTGCCATCCAATTTTGCCTATTTAAAAAAAATTATATATATATATACATATATATATATATGTATATATGTGTGTGTGTGTGTGTGTGTGTGTGTGTGTGTGAGTGTGAGTGTCATAAATACAGTCACACATCTGCAGATGTCAAAGGACAACAACTTTTAGGTGTCCTCTTTTCTTTATGGGTTTCAGGGCTTGAACCCAGGCTGTCAGGTTTGTACTGCCTGTGTTTTTGTCTGCTGAGCCATCTCATAGTTCAGCCCCATCTCCTGCTGGAACTGCCTCTACCTCCTTACCTAGTTTTTGTTTTGAGATAGCTCACATGTAGTCTAGGCTGTCCTCCTACTCTTCTTGAATTCATTATCCACCTGCCTCAGCTTCTTTTGTGATGGGATGTCATAATGGCTATAGAGAACAGTGTAGCCATAAGCATAGATGTGTACCTGTGTCTGCCTCATACTGACTTAGAGTCCTTCATATGCATATCCAGGAGTGATACAGCTGGAGCACATGGTTCATTGTGTTTGTAGTCTTGAGAACCCCCTAGTGCTTTCCGTAGAGACAACACTAGTTTATGTTCCTACCAGCAGTGTGTATGGGATCTCTCTTTCCCCACTATCCAGTTTCCAAACTTAATGCTTAAGCTTGGTCAGGTGATAAGAAGACTGTGAACTGTGAAGAAACAAGTCCTTAGTAAGGATGGTCATGGCCCAGAGTGTTTACAACTTTCCGATATGAAGCATTTGGGTCTCTGATTGGGCTTCTCACTAGTTCTTTGGCAAAGCTAGATAATAAAGCAACCTAGATAATAAAGTAACCTTGGCCCCACCTTGGACCTACAGAGATAAACTGGAGGTGGAGCCTGATATTTGAAAACAATTACTTTCCAGTAGAGGTTATGGCTGATAGGACAGTACTTGCCTAGCAAGCTTGAGGCCCTGTTTTGTTTTGTTTTGTTTTTTCCTGTGAAAGTCCTGAGAAAGAAAAAGCAAAAACAGAACTGGAAGACCAATTTCCACTGCTCAAATTCTCTTGGAAGTGTGATCCTTCACTGGAACACAGTGAACTTACCAAGGGCAGCACTCTTAGAGAAAACTGCCTCTTCTTCTCCCTGCAGCTATCAATTGCCAGTAGTTTCTGGGTGAGGGATGGCACTTCATGCCTAAATCCTCTTTCTATGCTGGGATATGATCCTACTTGGGCTTGCACAGGTCTTGTGCACACTGTCACAGCTAAGGAGGCTTCTTTGTATGTCCAGAAGACACTGGCTCCCCACTTTCCCCTAAAGATCCCTGGACCTTAGGAGGAAGGGAGTGTAGTACATATATTCCACTTTTTTGAAAGCTCTCTAGTGTTTTTACACCCCCCACCACCACCACATATTCCCTCCTCTACCCTTTACGTGGGTCCCAGGTATTGAACTCCGATCTCCAGACTTTCACAGCAAACACTTTCCCTGTTCAGCCATCTCAACAGCCAACGAAACAGCTTTGAAAGTCCATCTATATTTAGAGTGTATGAATTATTTGTTTATTTTTTTTTAACTTATTGGAAAATCTCCCATTAAGAAAGTTTCATTTTGTAGGCGCTCACCAAGCTGACTCTGGCCACCATGGAGGTGCTTGCATGTCTCCTCCCCCTTCCCTTGACTTTCAGACATTCTTCCAGGGTCCTCCACAGCTTAGCCCGGCACTTCCCCCTTGGTCCTTTATCTTCTGAGAACTAATCCTTTGCTTACTGTGGGTGAGTCACACATTCCAAACACCTACAACACCTAACTGCCCAGACCTTTCACCTCCCAGGAGACCTCAGGGTTGGGAAGTGGGTGAGGAGGCCACTCTAGTTGCATGGGCTACCCAAAGGCAAGCATCTGACAGGCTTGGCCAAGAGAATTGAACTAAATAGCTACAATCTTAAGAGTCTGGTTGAGTCTCTCTCTACCAAACTATCTGGCAACATCTGTGCATTAAAAATCAACACCCTATGGGGTTCTATTTAAACAAGCTAGAGAACACAGAACAGTCTTTGAAAAGAAAACTTTGAGGAAAAATTTTTTTCTTGGTTTCTTAAACACTCATTGTTTTATCATCTAAGAAAGAGCACAGTTATGATTAAATTCCCCACCTCCTACACTAATGAACTTTTAAATTTCACTTCCTCAGCCTAAGCTCACAGGCTTGGGGAGTGGGGAGGCAGTTGTAGACAAAGACTATATATCCACATATCTACATCTCTCTATATCGATCTACTAGATTGATCGATAGATAGACAGACAGATAGATACAGATAGAAAGTGTGTGTGTTAGGGGCTGGAGAGATGGCTCAGAGGTTAAGACTGCTCTTCCAGAAGTCCTGAGTTCAATTCCCAGCAACCACATGGAGGCTCACAACCATCCATTATGAGATCTGGTGCCCTCTTCTGGTGTGCAGATATATATGGAAGCAGAATGTTGTATACATAATAAATAAATAAAATCTTAAAAAAAGAAAGTGTGTGTGTCTGTGTGTGCATGTGCATGTATACGCACACATGCATGCACATGGTTTATTGGGGATTCATGCTAGGAAATTGCTCTATCATTGGTCTATCTCTAGAACTTCATTGTTATTGTCATTATGATTTTGAAACAATGTCTTCTGAAGTTGTCAAGCCTGAGGCTGCCTTGAACTCACTATGTAGCCCAGGATGGCCTTAAAATTTTAATTAAAAGTATATTATTATTATTATTATTATTATTATTATTATTATTATTATTAATCTTTGAGACAGGGTTTCTCCTTATAGCTTTTGGAGCCTATCCTGGAACTCACTCTGTAGACCAGGCTGGCCTCAAACTCAGACACACCTGCTTCTGCCTTCCAAGTACTAGCATTAAATAACTTCTTTTGAAAGTAAATTATTTTTCATACAATACACTTCTGACCATGGGTTCCCCTCCTCAACTCCTCCCAGGTCCTCCCTACCTCCTCTACCCAACTCTATGCTCCTCTCTCTCTTTCTCTCTCTTTAGAAAACAAACAGGCAAACAACAACAACAACAAAATTCAAACAAACCAGAATTTAAAAAATAAATAGCAAAAAGAAAGCACAAGAAACACGCACACATAGGTACACACACACAAACAAAACCCATTAAAACACAAAACTAGAAATCTACACACAAGCAAAAGATCATTAAGACAAGAAAAATGCTTAAACAAAGCTGTTACGATAAATCTTTCCACCAATGAAGGGACCAGCTCCCTATTTCAGCAGCCATAACAGCCTAGTACCTGCTTGCCTGACCTTGCCTTGGTCACTAGGAGGCCAGATGTCTGCCTCGTGGCAAGGAACCAATCAGAAGTTAGCTGGTGGTGCTATGCTTTATGGCTATGGGTGTGCTTTACGGACAAGTGCACAGCAATGACGCACAGAGCATAGCAATTGCCCTGGGAGGGCCTATGGGCCATAACCACCAGTTGACCAATCAACTCAGGGCAAGTCTGGAGGCACACCAATCCTGAGCCTATGCATACCCCTAGACACTCCCCTTATGCTGCCCTATAAGATCTCTATGCCGTGGCTTCGCTGTGTCTTTCCTAGCCATCTGACATGGTGGGTAGATGAAAGGCCCGAGCTAACATGGGGTTAGCTGGTTAAACAACTGCAATAAAGCCTCTTGCTGTTTGCATCAGGCTTTCGACTCCGAACGGTGATTGGGTTGGCCACGGTCCTGGACCGAGATCCTGGGGGCCTGAGCCTCTGGAGGTCTTTCACAAAGCCATATG